TTGTTTAAGCTTACTATTTTTATGTTACCAAATGCTAGACTATACTCTTTTGATGCAAGATTTATTTATTCTTTAAATGCCCTTAAGTCTTTTTTTAATAATAGAATTAAAGTCAAAAAGACTACTACAAAGACTGATCAAACAAAGTGATAAAGGGTGAGGTATACAATATTTCGACTGGCCAATAACAGTCTTCATCAGGTTTATTAGGAAAAACCACGAATATACAGAATATATACTACTGTAAAATAATTATCGGAAGTTACATAGTGTGTCGTGGTAAGTTGTGGCTGCTGAGAAAAATAAACCGAAAAAGATAAAGATTACATAATGATTATAGTTCGTCAGGTTTGTTCATTCCCAGAGGCTCGATGGTTTTGGCTCTATAAATTAGGTGCGCATGCGCCTCACGTGCCTTGCTAAGACAATCGCGTTCATATCTAAGTGTTACAATTGGGATAAATAAGTAACATAGGGGAAACAAAGTGGCTATTGCTGAAAAAGTGTTCTGAAACTGCCGTTTGGATGTAACTACCGGAGGGGTTAAGTATAGGGCGTCTATGTTTTTTACATGTAATCATGTTACAATTTAGGATTCCATTTCAGTTGCCTCTCACCCAAAATATGAAATCGCCAGTTTTCGTGAAATACCAGCACAACAAAAATGAAAGCAATAAGAAATAAACGTTGCAGAAGATATAGGCCTCAATTGATTATGCTCACGCTGTAAATCAGAAAGATTTGTTTTAGCCCTAAAAATGGGGCCGTTTCGGTGAGTAAAATACAGTCCTATTTTTGAGTCTTATTTGGCTCCCTTAAATTAGGGCCAATAGAGTCCAATCACCTAAGGCTGATTTGATAACCCAAGGGCTCAAATGGGCCCCGGAGTGGGCTGGATTATAGCTTTTTTGGCCATAAATTGGGCTAAAACGGCTCCAGGAGCAGCTAAATCAGACTTTGGCCAGTAGGGCTGAATTGACACTTTGGGGCTGAAACAGATCTTTTTAATTTTCAGTCCCTTTCTACACAAATCCTGATATTTTCTTAAGTTTTACATTTTTTAGTTATGGACGCAATTTCGGTGTAATCACATTTTAGCCAGATATCCGGCTAAAATTTCTAGTTGGCGTGTCACCGACTTTAACTGCATGAAAAACCCTTCGGCATATCGTTCGCGAATCGGTGTTTATTTAGTTGGTTCTTTTAACAAAATGTGGCGTCTTACATTCTGCCTTGATTCTTTTTTCCGTCAGGCTTTTAAGCATGAATTAGTAATGAAAGCAGTTGGTTTTTTGATTGTTTTGAAGTAACAGGTTACTGCTGTATTTGTGCTTTGTAGAGGAGTTGGGCTGCCCAGAAGGATGGCTTAATGATGGATCCTCCCGTTATTACAGCAAAGATACCGTGACGAGGAAACAGAGCGATGCTCGCCAACACTGTCAGAATCTAGGGGGAGATCTGGCCATAATCAAGTCAGAAAATCAAAACGACTACATTTTCAACTTGATACAGAGCCAAAACACATTCACAAAATGGGGTGTATCGATTGGAATGGAACGAAAGTCCGACGGAAAATTCTATTGAGGGTCGTGAAGGGGGGTACCAAATCCCAGTTCCCAGCCTAAATTTGGCCCAAATCCCAGTTCCCAGGCTAATTTCTGCCAAAATCCCAGTTACCAAATCTAAAATCCCATTACTAATGATTATTTGCAAAATCATGCGCATAATAAATTAAAAGCACTGATTGACGCTATTTGGATACACGTACCTTCACCTGGACTGAAGAAAATCTCTCATTCTGCTGGTGAACACTCTTTCTCTTCCAGCCCTTGTTGACATAACCATATGAAA